ATTGACTTCTAAAAGGCTATAGTGACAAGTCCAAAGAAGGGTTTAAATATCCTTTTATTTAACTTGAGACTATTCACAGTTGGCCTATCTTGGGCTTACGTGAAGTCTCCACTTGGACTTAATTTAAGATAGAAAATAAGAAACTCATGCTAACTAAAAACTAGCCGAAACTGTACAGAAATAACTAACAGAGTTGGCCCTTAAAATCTCACTGGCGAATATTAACAGGCACGTAACAATAGGAAGTGACACGGAAGTCACTTCCGTAGAAGAAAAAAAACTGACGTGGTCATTATTTTTCCATGGGACTTCTTATTAAATACTGGTTCCATCTCGTTTATATAAAGCGGGATTCTGAAGATTCATTTTGGTAGAAAGTTGTAACTGGGAAATAAGAAAATACAGGAAAGCTGTTTAAATTTAAAAATAGTTATTAGGAAATTAAAATAAATCCATACAAAGGTAAATTTTCCATCCCAAGAGCAGCGACAAATAGACAACCATTTTGCTTCCAATTTCGTACTTAACAGTATGCAGAACCAGATTTAGACTTAATAAGGTCCTAAGCTATTTGAGATATGGGGCCCTTTATAAGTCTGTTATAATATATTTTAATTTTTGCCCCCACCAAGAAAGTGGGGGCCCTCAGCTATAGGTCGTGTAGTTTATACATAAATCCGACTCTGACAGTATGCAGTAAGATTTTAAGCTAAAAAAATTTAAATTAGGAAACACTTCTACAGAACAACAAGCAGCAGACTGGTTTCAAAGTTATGAAATCCAACATAAAAAAGTGTAGATTTTTCTATACAATATGCTCAACAAAAAAGTAATAGATTGGAACAATTACCTGCAGAAAGTCTGCACTCATAGCGTTCTAAACAGAGCTTCAAGTAAAATCAGAAATGAAAAAAAAAAGGGTTTTGACAGCTCCAGATTTGATTTAAATCATATCAAAGACGGAGTACATCGAGATGAAATACTGCATTTAGTAAGGGATTATAAGCCAAATAAAATAAAAACATCTGCCTTAAAGATAAGGATAGTGCTGACAGATCAACTTCCAGTTCATTGCGTGCCACGACTTCCCCCCATCCGCAGAGCAGAGTAAAACTGATAAACAGATTTCAGAATGGTTAGAGAAACAAAGGATATGCCTTTATCCATTTTTTCCAGCAATTCCACTTTTTGTTTGATAGACATTGAAACATACTTTCGCTTTGTAGATCCTTTGGGACCTCCAGCATCGGAAATTCTTTTTGACATAATCGAAATTTCAAGCTTACTTTTATAAAATTGCTCCAACAGTCTGAAAAAAATGATAAGCCGGATCCAATTAGAAGATTAAGGAACAATACAATCTGCAACATTCACTGAAGTAGATAATTAGATAATTTTAGCTTAGCTTATACTGTCCGTTATACATTAAGCGCACATGCACAAAAGTATTATGCGCATGCATCAATGCATTGTGCGTTTACGCATGTGCAGAAAGTTTGTAGCTTTGAGGTCCAGATTATAGATCATTCCGGATTCTGGACGTCTGGATTAAAGACTTTTGACCGTGTATAAAAGCAATACCCTTCGCACAATTTTTTACAGATGAAATGTTAACAGTTAGTTATCGGGTGTAAACTGGTGGTTTCCATGCCTTTATTTCAGAAAGATATCAAACTGTCGATATTTATTATAAACTGGTAAAAATTATCAACATATCGAAAGAAAATATGCTTCAGAATAGAAATTTGAATTACAAAATAAGAATTGTATGATGAATTTAAAAAAAAAAAAAAAACACATTCCTTTTCAAATCTTTCTGTTATAATTTTACACTTTTCTCCTCCCCAGATACACAGCTATCTGTTTTTGCCAAAACGGCTAATCTTTGGAATATGGTAACAGGTAGTTTGGCGACATTTTGGTAAGGCAATAAAGGTTACTAGCTAGGACTTTAGCAGTGTACATGGATATAGTCAAGAGTGTGCGAAATGCCATTTTTGTGCAATTCTGGGCTGTTTTTTTAAGTGAAAATAGGTTGACGTGTACATGGATGATACCGTGTATGTGCAATTCGTAAAAACGCGGCAAGCAGTGGGCTATTCTGCACTTTCTCCCAATTTTGCACCTAATCTTCATCATGATTAAGCACTTTTGTTCCAAAAAAGTTCTAGCATAAGCGTAATTCGGCTAGCAGATTGTTGGAAAAAAATATTGGAAATGTTGAGTAAAAAAAAAACATGCCTTTACTTCGTGAAAACAAAATAGCATCCAAACATAAACTAGCAGGTTGCTGTAGCAGGGTTGGTCGCCAAATTTTCGACAAAAAAACGCCAAGTTACCATAATCCAAAGATTAACCGCGAAAACAAATGGGAGAATTGGGTTCATGCAGCACTTGGCTTATGAGAAAATGCATTTTCTCATTGTTCAATTAACAAAATGCTCAGCAAAATTCTGTTTTCCTGCAGAAATTTTATCACAGGATTGTGGAAAAATTGCTTGCAAATTCTGGAAGGACACATTTTCAAACTAAGGCAAAAAATAATTATGATTTGTTTAAAAAAAACATTGGTCTTTGGAATACAACAAAAAAGAATGCTAATAAAATGGTTTGATTTACACAAAATGGTTTGATTGAAGGATTATTATAAGCATGATTGCTGGAAGAATTCGTATGCACAATGTTGTCAGAGTTTGGCATATACTGAAAATATCGCAACTTGTATTAAGGACGTTGCATTAACACGTAAATTCCACCAAAAAAAAAAAAAAAAAAAAAAGAACTTAACTTCCTGAAGAAATTTCGATTTCTTTCTGACATTACAAGCTGCATAGTGGCTTCAAGAAAACAGTTCAAAATTAATGTTTTAAACATTCGATACAGAACACATACGCTTGCAAAAAAATCTAAATTATACCCATTCTCAACATTAAAAAAGCTAATGAGAGAGATCGTAGAATTTAAATGCTATAACACAATATATATATATATATATATATATATTCTATTTTTTTTAGAAAAATGTAATGAAAAGTGGATTACAGAGCAAACTGTGAATAAAATTTCCATTCAAATGAAAATGTTCAAGACTTCAGACAGTGAAAGTGCAGAATCACCCACTGCTTGGCACGTTTTCAAGAATTGCAGATACTCGGCAACCATGTACACATCGACCTATTTTCACTTAAGAAAAATATTCTAGAATTGCACAAAAATGGCATTGTGCACTCCCATGACTTTATCCATGTACTTATTTTCACATAAAAAGTCAAAACAAATTTTGACAAAAATCCAATTCTTCTTACTCTTGTACAAAGCGCCAAACAAAGTAGTGTGCGATTCTGCACTTACCCTTTCAAACCATTCATAACATTACCTGAATGAAAGGAATGTGATATGAATAAAACTTTTTTATTTATAACAGTATAATCAATGTCTTAAATCTTCAGTGTTCGAATATACTGTTTTAAATTTTCATTACTCATTAAATACTAAGGATAAGAACATGTTGCATTAAACTAAGAGCACTTTAAGGCAGCGGTCGGGGAACCGGGGTAAATCACTCCAAATGGGGTAAAAATGAAACTTTTGTAAGTAAAAAATATCTATTTTTAATTTGCTATTTTATAAACCTGTTAGTATTTTTTTCAACTTAAAGAATTTAGCGACATATGCAGGCCACGGCATCTCACTCCCCACCACTAGAGTGTTCTCGAGTTATATCTTTGTGCAGTAAAGCACAGCCACGGCTACATGCTCAGTCTGTGCCATGCCGTCAAAATATAAATACATTGACGAGTCAGAGAGCGAGTTTTTACTAGTTAGTTGCTGACAAGACCAGCATTTTATCATTAATCATCGATATATCGATCAAGGTAAGCCGCAATTTGAAAATTAAATTCAAGCATATTACAACTATTATTTTCTGTCTCCCTTCAGATGGCAGCAAATAGAAAAAGAACATACCAAGACGAATTCCTTAATTACGGTTTTACACAAATAGAAGAAAGTAACAATGTACAATGAAACCACAGTGTGTTGTATGTATGAAGGTACTGACTTCAGAATCTTTCAAAAAAAGTCAATTGAAGAAATATTTAGATAATTTGCATTAACATCTGTCTTCCAAACCACGAGAATACTTTGCAAATTTAGAAATATCTGTTAAAAGACAAAGATTGAATAGCAACTTGTTTGGTAAATTTGATCAGCGTTCAGCATCAAGGGCTAGCTTTGAAGTAGCCTGGTTGATTGCTCGAAATAAGAAACCCATACACTATTGGTGAAGATTTGGTTTATTAATCAGCTGCTGTAAAAATGGCAGAGATTGTGTGTGGTCAAAAAGAAGCGAAGAAAAACTGAATTCAGGCCTTGTCTGCGAGAATTGTGAAAGAACGATTTCTATATTAGCAGAAATGTGAAGGATAGGTTATTTTCGCATTAAAACAGGCTAAATATTTTGCTATTCAGCTTGATGAGACAATTGATTTTAGTAGCAATTCACAGCTAGGTATATGTTCGCTACAAAGGTTGCCAGAGATAATTTTGAAGAGGAATTGCTGTTTTGTTCTCCTCTCGAGTTGAGATCTCGTGAATTGATGTCTATAATAAAGTAAATGAATACTTCAATGCGCAAGTTTTAAATGGAAAACTGTATTTCTGTATCTTTGGAGGAGCTCCAGCTATGCGGGGTCATATTAATGGTTTTTCGGCTTTCGAAAAAAAAAAAATAATAACCCAAAATTGAAGTTACTTACTGTATGATCCATGCCAGGCCCTTATGGTCAAAATTTAGAACCTACAACTGAAGCTGTCATGCATGATGTCATCAAGATTGTAAATTTTATCAAGGACATGCACTAAACCGCGCTATTTCGTGAATTATGTCAGGACGGTGAAGCTGAATATACGGACCTACTTTATTATATAGAAGTAAGGTGGCTCTCTCGCGGAAACGTACTAATCGAGTATGGACTCTCAAAACTGAAGTCGAAATTTTTATGGTTGATCAAAAAAATATTCTCGCAGATAAGTTTAACAACTCTTCCTCGGTTGCATATCTCGCATATTTAGCGAACATTTTTGAGAGTATAAATATATTAAACAAAGAATTGAAAGGAAAGAATATTAATATCATTTCAGCAAGAGAAATAGTGTCAGTGTTTGGATTAAAGCTGCAATATTGGAGACAGAAAGTAGAACAGAAAAAGATAGCTTTGTTTTTGGAAGATTGTGAAAATATTACTTTTGCTGACATCAAGGATACAATTGTAAGACATCTTATCAAACTCAGAAAGCAGTTTTCAGATTACTTTCCAGATCTTGATACACGTACTGTCAGATGGACTGTAGATCCTTTTAAATGTGAAATTGCTCTGATACCAGAAGAACCTTCAGGTTTGGCAGAAGCAATTCTTGAACTTCGATCTAATATTGAAGCACGTATTCAACTTGAGAGTAAACCAAATCTGTCGTCTTTTTGGATGTCAAAAGCTGCAAAGGCTTTCATAATTGCACATGAAGAGGTGGTTAAAAAATTGCTGCCATTTCGAACAACATATTTGTGCGAACAAGGCTTTTCCACTCTGATGAACATAAAAACGAAGAACAGAAATCCATTAAATGCCGAAGACTGTATTCAAATCGCTCTTACATCAAAGAGTCCCAATTTTTAAGCAATTGTATCGAACATGAAACATCATTTCTTCAAAACGTGAAGGAAGAATGTTTTCAATTATTCTTTTTTTTCTAATTTTTGTTTGTACCACCATTATTATTATTATAATTTGTTACAGTACCCCAACTTGTCAACCCTCAATTGTACCCCAATGGGTTTCAATTTGTATAATATTACTTATTATATTACTATTATTACTGTTATGTATTTACTAGATATTACATTGATAAATTGAATAAATGATGTTTAAATTAAATTTTTAGTTATTGTTTTCTTTTCAAAATTATCATGAGGGTCTATAATATGAAAGATGCTAAAAAAAGGCAATTTCGTTTTTTTTTTTGCTCTTCCGCCATGGGCTAATATCAACTTACACAAAAATATTTTGGGGTAATGATTAAAAAAGTTCCCCGACCACTGCTTTAAGGTGACTTGCGGCTTATCTCCAAAACATCAGGTTTTCTCTTGTGGAAACAAATAAATGGTTTATTAAGAAATGACAAGTTGAACACATCACATAGAAAAACATTTCTTTATAGCATAGTCAGGTCTGTATTGCACACATAAGCAAAGGCCCTTATTAATCTAACTTTTCCACAAAAAACATTAGCCTTCTTATTATGCGTAGACGCGAGTCTCAATTTTTCTATAACCCAAGTGATCTGTTACACATGTACCTTATGGAACTCCTCTCTGGTGTAAATAAGTAGATGCTATTTTAAACTAGAATTTTGAGTAAATCACTTATTACATACATCATACACATAAGGTTTCTCTTTTGTGTGAAGAAGCGTATGGTTGTTGATTCTTATGAGCAAATGACTTGTTACATACCTCACACACATGCGGTTTCTCTCCTGTGTGAAGAAGCAAATGTTGCTTTAATGCACATTTTTGAACAAATGATTTATTACATACCTCGCACACATGAGGTTTCTCTCCTGTGTGAAGAAGCAAATGTTGCTTTAATACACTTTTTTGAACAAATGATTTATTACATACCTCACACACATGAGGTTTGTGTCCTGTATGAATAAGTATATGCTTCCGTAAATTAGATTTTAGTGTAAATGACTTAGTACATACCTCACACACATGAATTTTCTCTGGTGTGTGAATAAGTATATGTTCTTTTAAAGTAGCTTTTTGAGTAAATGACTTGTTACATACATCACACACATGAGGTCTCTCTCCTGTGTGAAGAAGCAGATGCTGCTTTAAATGAATTTTTTGAGTAAATGATTTATTGCATACATCACAGAAATGAGGTTTCTCTCCTGTGTGAATAAGTATATGTCTGTTTAAAGCACCTTTACGAGCAAATGAGTTCTCACATACCTCACACACATAAGGTTTTCCTTCTGTGTGAAGAATGATATGGTTTTCTAACGTACATTTTTGCGCAAATGATTTGTTACATACCTCACACACATGAGGTCTCTCTCCTGTGTGAAGAAGCATATGCTTGTTTAAATCACCTTTTTGAACAAATGACTTGTTACATACCTCACACACATGAGGTCTCTCTCCTGTGTGAAGAAGCATATGCTTGTTTAAATCACCTTTTCGAGCAAATGACTTGTTACATACCTCACACACATGAGGTTTTTCTCCTGTGTGATGAAACATATGCTTGTTTAAAGTATGTCTTTGAGCATATGATTTGTTACATACCTCACACACATGAGGTTTCTCTCCTGTGTGAAGAAGCATATGGTTGTTTAAACTACCTTTTAGGGCAAATGACTTATTACATATCACACACACATAAGGTTTCTTTCCTGTATGTATACACATATTCATGTTTAAGGTGCTCTTTCGTCGAAATGAATACTTACGTACCATATATACACACTTTTTCTCCTGTATGTACAGGCTGATGCTTGTCTAAAGAACCATACAGTCTAACTGACTTGCTGTATACATCATACACAAAGTTTCTTTCCTGTGTCAAAACAAGTACGATTGTTTAAATAATGCTTTAGTCTAAATGACTTGATACACACTGCATACACTTTTGTCTGAATAAGCATATGGACTTTGAAAATAGAGTTATTTGCAAATGATTAGTTCCATACCTCACATTGTAATTACATGTTATCCTGCATTAAAAAGGATATGTAAGTTTTATTGTGGCTTCCATGTAAATGACTTTTACCTACCTCAAATAGGTGAGGTTTTTTTTCTGATGGGTGAGTAGGCATGAACTCATTTAAGAAATTTCATTTTCCACATGAAAATTCCCAATACAAGTTGGACTCAAATATATTCCAAAAACTGACATCCTGGGAGATGCTACACTTTCAGGACTGAACCTGCTGGAATGTTTAGATTAAGCAAAGTATTTAGTCCATGCACACGATATAAACACTATAATACATTTTGAATAGAAAACATATCTGGTGCGAGATACACATGTCAGGAAAAATAAGTTTGTTTATTTTGGACTAACATGATTTCTCTCATAAATCTTAGTTTGTTCATTCATTTCTCCAAATTACATATAATACATTTTAAAACTACGACAAAGTGCCAAGAAATATTCATGGCATATCAAAAAGAAATTAGTGCCGTACGATATTTCCCGCGTTGTATAAAATTCCACCACTTCTTTCTGTGGAAACTTAATTGCCATTAGAGCTGGAGCAAATCGCATGTATTCGTTACCGAGTAACGGGTACATCGGTTGACTCGAAGTACCGATTCGGTACTCACAAATTCATTTCGTTACTCGCATCTGTCCTATGATGCGGTTTATTCGAATACGCATGATGGGGTTGCTATACGAATACGAATGATGCGGTTGCTGTTCGAATACGAATGATACATTTGCTAACAATACCCGTGTGCCACATTTTTCATTGATAATTTCGAATTTTTTTGGTTAACTCATCGGGCAAACTCTTGTTTACATTATGTGTTTTAGTTGAAATATTGTTTAGTTATTGATATTTAAGAAAATGATCAATTTTGATAGCGTGAAGCGTTATTTGTATTTGTTTTTCACATTTATAGTGCACATAGATTTATAGTGCATATTATGTTTGTAATTTGAAAATTTAGATGATTATTGATTTTTTTCTTGAGCGTGCCATAGGGAGATTTTATTGATTTGAAATATTTATATACTGCACTTAGGTATTGTTTAAATAAGAATATGTAGGTTAATATAAGTTCTTTACTTCCTTGTACGAAATAAAAAGGAAGTAAGTATTGTAATCGAGAAAAATTTTTGGGTATCATATTTTCAACGGAAATATCCATTTTTTGACGATTACAGAATCCATGTGAATTATTTTTTTTGGATGACGTCTGTACGTACAAACATTTTTTTTTTTTTTTTTTTCCAGAAACGGATTGTTAAATGTAATCCCATTTACTCTAAGCTGATACTTATGACTAATGATTATGACTCTAAGTTGATACTTGAAAGGGATTTTTTCGTGATGTGTAAGTACGTATATATGCATTTCGCATAACTCAAAAACGATTAGTTCTAGAACGTTGAAATTTTGTATATGGGCCCGTTATAACATCTAGATGTGCACCTCCCTTTTTATTGCAATCGGTAATACTACAAAACGTAAATATGTATATTTTAAAGAAATTATAATTAAATGTAAAGTACATATATATATATATATCCTTATAATTAAATGTAAAGTACACACATATATATATAAATATAAAATAAAAGCCAAGTAAGGCGAAAATAAAAGCCTTGGTTTTTATTTTATTTATTTATCACTAAGTAAGTTACTTGGCTTTTATTATTTTACCAGAGTATAGATAGAAATTTGGTTATGTAGCCTATTCTTCTAAAACGACGTTTCGTCGCTGCCTTCCCCCCACCAATTCCCTTTTTTTTTTCGGTTTCGGATTATTTGGTTACGGCAATGCACACTAGGGCTATTGCCTAAGGGAAGGGATGCCTTCGTGGAGGACTTTTTAAAGGAAACTGGCTCATATGCAAGTTACACATGGGGAAAGCCACGAAAACGCCCGTGCAGCCAGCCGTTAGCCGGGAATTGAACTCCGGAACGAACTATTAGTCTTCAGCGACTTTACCGCTCGAGCGCTGGTGGGCTCTTCGCTGTTTGCAAAATAGGTGTTCACTTTACGATAAAGCAAGCACCTGTTTTCTTCAATTAAAACAGGTTAGACGATATGACTCTTACTACTTCATTCTCACTTAGCTTTTGATTTCTAATATTGATTCAATATTTTCTGTAGACATTCTGATTAGAATAATGGATTTCAAACATGTGCAAAAGGTGTGTATCTGAATATAATTAGGTTTTTATAACATAGAGCCCATTTTATTAATTTATAAAACAATATTATCGCTGTTTTGAAAGAAAGCAAAAATGTGACAAATGTATAATGAACATTAATATACATGCTTTACTAGAAATTCACCCTTTCGTCATTAGCGGTTCTGATGAAAGGAATGGGGAGAAGCAGCAAACGAAATAACGAATAACGGACAAATAACGAAATCTAATCTTTAATGCCGTCTCCCAGTTTCTTTAGCCCACCAGCGGTGAAGCGGTAACGTCGTTGAACACTGGTAGTTCGGTCTGAGGTTCAAATCCCGCGAACGGGCTGGCTGCATGGGTGTTTTCGTGGTTTTCCCCATGTAAAGTGTATACCAGCCATTTCCCTTAGAAAGTCCTCCACGAAGGCATCCCCCCTTTAGGTATATAGCCCTAGTGTGCTTTGCCATAATTAAATACACCACCAACCCAATTTCTTTATTTGTATTTGGGAAAGTTTTATTGTCATTATGAAAAGTGAAATTTGATATGGATAACTTTTTAAATTATGCTTATTTTTGCTGCACTTCATTTAAACTTATTTCCTCGAATTATTCTAACTTAATTAAGCGATGCCCGAAGGCAAGTTACAAATGGCATCAAACACTGCAAATTTTGAAATTAAATTTCCCGGTCAATCTCTTGTCCTACGGGACTCAAACTTCTTGTATTTTTATTTTTTCATAACGAGTATAAAACTTTGCCAGATATAAATATAGGAAACCAGAAGACGACATTAAAAGTTAGATTTCATAATTTGTCCAAAATTAATTCTATTAAAAGTTTGACATTGAAAAAATATGAATATTTTCGTCATTTAAAATACTTCTGTATTTTTGTTGCACCGTATTTAAACTTGCTTCTTCGAGTTATTGACATTAAATTACATTAATTCCGTTATCTATTAGAAAATAATTATAGCAAATCATCTATTTACGACATCTCTAAGAGGTCACTTTCTAAGAGATCTGTATTTTTGAGAACATAAACAAACATTGGTAGTGAACATCACCTTTTTAAGACCACCACATGTAAAATCCTCTAAAAGCATGAATGGTTGCATTTAAAGAGGACCCATTACTTTTAATAAAGAATGTAACATTAATCTTAATTATACATGTTTTTGGTGTGTGTGCCAAAATAGTGATACCGTGGTTCTGTTGCTTTAGAAATGTGTGAAATTAAAAAAATGGATACTATATAACAAAAATGTTATTATATTCAGATACAACACCTTTTGAACACGTCTGAAATTCATTCTTCTGCTCAGCATAATTTGTCTGCATAAAATATTAAATAGTATTAGAAATCAAAAGCTAAGTCGAAGTAGAAACAGTCATCTCTTCTAAACCATTTTAATTGAAGTAAACAGACGTTCGCCTTATCGTAAAGTAAACACCTATTTTTCAAACAGCGGATGAAACGGGAAAGAGGGAATTGGTGGGGGAAGGCAGCGAACGAAATGACACTTTTTCGAGCTGGGATGAAATGAGAAAGGACGAAAAGGTACTAAGCCAATAAGACAAGGTCTGGTATTTTACTTTATTATTTAACTATTCATCATAAATTTAAGAATTATTTTAATTTTTATTTGTCTTTACATTTTTTTATTAAATTTTTACTTATAATATAGTATTTTATATTTCAGTTGCTAATTATTATGTTACTTTAATTATTCATTATTTTAATCACTATTTTTTATTATTTTAATTATTAAGTTTTTTAATAAGTAATTTTTTATTATTTTAATTACTAATTAATGTTATTATTGTAATATTTATTTTATTTATTTATTTTTTTTTTTTTTTTTTCCTATTTTCCTGACGGCCTTCCGTAGGCGCTTTCTGACTCTGACAATTTTGTGACACCACAAAAAGAGGTGAATTATTTTCTATCCAAAAATACGACGCAAAACTCCCTATCGCATAGGGCGTATACCGATTCCCTTTTTAGGGCCGTATACCGATAAAATAGGCTCAGGATATACGGATACCGATCGATTTTACCGAAAGTAACGAGTAACGATACGATAGTAACGAGTACTGGTTCACCGAGTAACGAATACATACGGGTACACAATTTCTCGTTACTTCTACAGCACTATGCTACCATAGTCTCCTCTAACACTCTTGATTCTCCTAAACTGAAATATGCCTTCGTTTTCGAGCCTACGGATATAAGCGACGTTTGCGTGGACGGGATGCGCTCCTTTGTTTTGTCGATTTATACTCTCACAAATCAGAAAATGTTTCCTCAGAAGGTGTTTTTGATTCTAAATCGATTCAAAATCAGGAAGGAGTAACCGTGTGCGGTAATTCCAATTGTGGTATGTGTGATAATTATGATTGTTTTGTGAGTGATATGGTTCATTGTGAAATTATGATTTTAGTATAGCTGAGAGTTATTTTGTTTGCCGTGATTGCTTAAAACTTTCAACTATAGATACAATTTGAAACGCCATGCATATAAATTTCATTAGAATAATACTACATGAATTAAGTCTCTGAAAACTAAGTTCTAATAGTATGGTTGATTGTGCAAATAATTTTAGTGTGGGTGAGAGTAATTTTGTATGCTCTGATTGCTTAAAAACGTTCCAAAATAAATGCAGTTTGAAACGCCATACCAACACATTACACTCTAATAATACTACATTATTGATTCTTTAAAAAGTGGCCGATGACCAAGTTACAAATGTGAGGACTGCTATCTGAAATTTAGTGACCTAAAAAATTGGAAATATGATAAAAATAAAATTGATACTTCTAACAGGTAATTATGTGTGTCCTGTACGTTATGCTAATTTTAAAAAAGCGAGAAATAATATTTCATTTCAATAATGTTCTTGATGTTGATTTGAATCATACTGAGCTAGAATTTAATTGATTACCTTTTGCATTCGAATCATAATGAGAGGCACAAACTGTGGCTGAAACGTCCTTAGGACTCGTTAATTCATCTCTTTTAGGGATAGATTGGGTAGGCGGAGATATACTGTTTAACTGAGTTTTATTCTTTGAATTATTTACAATGTGCAAAATACTGTGATGCTTCTTAAAGCAATGTTGACATGTATTTAAACTCTTGCATTTTTTGAGCAAGTGCCTATTAGATAAACAATTAAAACAGTAACGATTAGATTTTACAAATTCTATCCTTTGCTAAACCGATAAATTTAGAAATTTCGAACATTTGGCTAAACTATGATCTTCTTTACAATAACCACAACCCAAAGTAGCACTCAGAACATTATTCTTATTTTGAAACACAGATTTAGGTACCTTATTACTTGTTGATTTGCTATTTTGAAGTGT